CAGGATATCCAGGAGCGCTGGGTCGATCGCAAGGCCGAATACGACGAGCTGGAGCGGAAAGAATGGGAAGAGCAGGCCAAGATGCGGGAGGAGGATGATGCTAGCGCCGGGCAGGCGCCGCCGCCGCCGGCCGACGATTATGATCCAGACTTTGGCGACATGACGATACCTGCAGATAGTGGCATAAAAGTAGTGCGCAAGAACAAATGATACCCTTCAGCCGTCTTCTTCAACCATGTCATCTTCGTCAGACACGTCCGACGCATCGAACATGACCGCGTCCTCGACTTCGGTCCTGGACTCTGAGAAAAGCGGCAACGCGCCACCGGCAGCAGCCGCGGATGAGTCTTTGGCGGCGAGCACGAGCTGTCTGGCCTGTCGAACGGCCTCTTCCTCGGCCTTTCGAATGGTTCCGCTGACTCTGACAACCTTGAAGGTGCAGGGCTTGCCCTGCCTTTCGAATGGTTCCGCTGACTCTGACAACCTTGAAGGTGCAGGGCTTGCCCTCTCCGCTCTTGAGAGGTACGCGGTTCATAAACGTCAAAGCAGCCCAGACTAGACGGTAGTGTGACCTCTTCACTTTCAAGATGAAAGTCGACGTTGCCTGAGAGAGATACTTGACTATGTGACTGTTAGATGCTGCTGAAGACAGACGGGTGCATTCTGCTCCGTGAACTCACCGACGAGATTTCCTTCTATCGCACCAGAACCGTAATCACCGAAAAGAGTAGCGACCTCAGCTCGTATCGCCTTAAGAAGTGACTGAGGCGTGAGACTTCCGGTCGTCGGTTGATGCATCACCACGAAATCTGGGACATTTGACTTTTGATTCGGGTCTTCTGGTGGGTACAGAATATTGACGAGAATATATCTCTCTTTGATTCGGACCATCTTGGCGTGCTCAAGATCGTGTCGTCCAACGAGAGGAGGGAATAGACCTTAAAAGTTGAGTCTTGTAAAAGTTCAAGCTCGAGGTACGTATCCTGCAAGTGCAATCCGTCGAAATGGGTCCGCGTCCCTGCGACGGAATACGGTACCTAGGTAGGACCATTGCTGACTAAGGCGGGGGAGCTTCACCTCCAGTAGCTCCCTTCTACCACAAGCTCCCGACGTCACCAGGCATGCTAGGTAATCCGCTGAAGTGACATATACCTAATTCTTCTGAGGCGATGTGCTTGATGGACACCGATTTATCTTGAAGAAAGCTGTATCTGGAAACCATCTCTCACTAGCATTTCTACCATCTCGTGCTACCTCCACCATGACTGACACCCCGCTCAAAGTAGCTATCTTGATCGTGTCGACGACAGCATCAAAAGACCCGTCGACAGACAAATCGGAACTGATTCTACGAGATGTAATCGAAAATGAGGGTGGTGGTAAATGGCAGGTCACCGATACTAAGATTGTGCAAGATCATGTTCCCCAAATCCAACGGCAGATCATGCTTTGGGCGGACTTAGGCCCTGTGGAAGGAGTCAACTTGATCCTTACTACTGGTGGAACTGGTTTCGCTGTGTCAGACAACACGCCCGAGGTAGGATGAATGGCAGAATTTGTATTTGTGTAAGCGATGGATGCTGATCATCAAGTGTAGGCTGTCGCAACTCTTCTACATAGGACCGCCCCAGGCCTGGTTCATGGAATGCTCGCTGCGTCGCTGGCCGTGACCCCATGTAAGTGAATCTGATACTCACAAACGCCACCAAAACTCACAGCAATAGTTGCAATGATGTCAAGACCGGTGGCAGGTACACGCAACAGCACCGTCATCGTCACTCTACCCGGGTCTCCCAAAGGTGCCAAGGAGAACTTACAAGCCATCCTCAAGACCTTGCCGCATGCGTGCGTACAGGCCGCCGGCGCTGACTCCAGGATCCTCCACTCTGGCGGGGTGAAGAAGCTCGAGTCCGAGGCCGGAATCCAAGGCGCCTCTGCAGGATCAACAACCAAAAAAGAGCAGGCGCACTCTCACGACCACCACGGCCATGATCACAGTCACAGCCAGGGCCACGGCCATGGACACTCACATACTCACGGTCATGGCCATGGGGGCCTCGTTAGACACACCAAGCCGGAAGAAAACCCCCTCTCCAACGATCCGTCTCTCGGTCCAAGTCGCAGATACAGAGAGTCGCCATACCCGATGCTGGAAGTCGACGACGCGCTGCGGCTGATCAAAGACTTCACCCCTGACGCAGAGGTCGTGACGACTAAAGTAGACGTCAACATCATCAACTCGGTCCTCGCAGAAGATGTCACAGCCAGAGAAAGCGTCCCGGCCTTTAGGGCATCCATTGTGGATGGTTACGCGGTAGTGGTACCCGAGGACGGCAACATGAAGGGCGTCTTCCCCGTCACGGCAGTATCCCATGCCGCCCCAGGCGAGGTCAAGACCCTCAAGGAGGGAGAAATCGCCAGAATCACAACAGGAGCCCCCTTACCCCCGGGAGCCACGTCGGTCATCATGGTCGAGGACACCATCCTGAAATCCAAAACAAAGGACGAGAAGGAAGAAAAGGAGGTGGAGATTCTCGCCGACGGCGTCAAACCCGGCGAGAACATCCGTGAAGTCGGTAGCGACATCCAAGAAAACGACACAATCCTCAAGAAGGGCGAACAAATCTCCGGCGTCGGCGGCGAAATCGGCCTCCTCGCAGCCGTCGGCGTGGCAGAAGTCCAAACCTACAAGCGGCCCGTCGTCGGCATCCTCTCCACGGGCGACGAGATCATCGAACCCGATCGACCCGGCGGCCTCCGCCTCGGCGAGGTCCGCGACACGAACCGCATCACCCTCATGTCCGCCGCCCGCCAGTGGGGGTTCGAGGTCGTCGACCTCGGCATCGCGCGCGACAAGGAAAAGGCCCTCGAGGAGAACCTGCGCGAAGGGCTCCGCCGCAGCGACCTGCTCATCACCACGGGCGGCGTCTCCATGGGCGAGCTGGACCTGCTGAAGCCGACCATCGAGCGGGCCCTCGGCGGCACGATCCACTTTGGCCGCGTGGCCATGAAGCCCGGCAAGCCGACCACCTTCGCCACGGTGCCCGTCAAGACGACGCTCGGGAAGCGGGTCACCAAGACCATCTTCTCGCTGCCGGGGAACCCGGCGTCCGCCCTGGTGACGTTTCACCTCTTTGTCCTGCCGGCGCTGCATAAGCTGTCTGGCATCGAGCCCGCGGGCCTGCCCAAGGTTCCCGTGACGTTGGGTCACGATTTTTCTCTCGACAAGGCTCGGCCAGAGTACCACCGCGCCATAGTCACCGTCGGCAAGGACGGATCTCTGTCTGCGAGCAGTACCGGCGGTCAACGAAGCTCAAAGGTTGGCAGCCTAAAGTCTGCAAACGCCCTGCTCGCTCTCCCGGCCGGTTCGGAGCCGTTGAAGAAGGGGGCCAAGGTGGAGGCTCTGATGATGGGGGACATCCGCGTGGAGTATTGAATCGTTAAACAACGCCCGTACCAATAATAAGAATGCTTATGTGATGGCATGATCTTCGGTCTTCAGCAAGTAACATTGACCCCTCATGTGCCTAGCTGTGCTTGCAAGGAGCTCAGAAGATACTCGTCAAGTCTTGTTCCCGGTAGAATACACCAGCTGCGTATACATGACTTGGGTCGAGATCCTATACTAAGCGAAGCAGAGGTCGAAACTTTATGACGCGCAGAAATCATCTCGATGAGGAGCTATAATACTTGGATAGTGTACAATACAAAATGTCCTCGCCCTGCCTGTATGCCATTAACGCCCGCCCAAGTAAACCTTGGTGTAATGCAGTGCTCCACTGTACATCGTGTCCGAGGTAGATAGTTGCTATGCTGTCGGTAATAAACCCCCTCTCTCTGTACCTTTCATATTGTGTAGACAGCTTGTTATGCCTTATGCCTTGCCGAAAGCGTTGGCCTTGCCAGAGACAAGAAGTCCAACAATCAGACCGAAAAGACCGAGGACAGAGCTGAAAATCTCGACAACGAGAATCTTGACGAAACTGTACCCAGACTAATTAGCACATGTAAAAGATCGCTTATGTTATCTGGAACAAACATACAGTGTAGGGTCGGCGGCATCGGCCAGCGCAGCTCCACTGCCGTTGATGCCGACAGCGACACCACAAATGAGGTTGCACATTCCGACAGTGATACCGGCCCAGAACAGGGCGAAACCAGTGTAGTAGCTGTTGCCGTCGTGCAGGACCTCACCCTGGACGTTCTCGAGCTGGGCGGAGAAGACGATGGCCATGATGACGCCGTAGATGGCGACGACTTCGCAGAAAATGATGGAAATCAAGTTCTTAGTTCGCACACGCGGCGCCTTGACGCCCGCGCCGAGGATGGAGGAGCCGGTGATGAAGATACCCCTAGATTTGGTCGCCACGTTAGATTATACATTGGCCTTGCGTTGCGCGCCCGCTGCGTCAATTGCTGGGAAGCTTCGCTCCATACCATGCCGCGCCTACAACGGAGAGACCGATGCAAAGGGCAATGCCCGTGTCCGCCCATGCGTAGGGTGAGATAGATTCGAGAAACTCGCCGACGTTGAAAGCCTCGCCCGATCCCGTGAAGAGCATGTCTGTTTAAAGGGTGTTAGCTGGGACTGTGATCCGCGGAATCGTCGATGCCATCGCGGGAATGGGGTTTCGTACAAGCTCCTACAACGAGAAGGGTGCTCCCAATGCCTCCCAGGCCATATGTGAGACTCATCGTGCTCGATTCGGTGCGTTTCGTTGCCTGTGTCGTGGTTGTTGTTGACGGCGGAGGGCGTTGGGGGGCGTTGCAGCTACGTCGAGCTCTCTAGTCCAGGCCAGTGAGGTAAGGTATCTGAGGTAAGGCAGAGGGATCCAAAATCGGGGAGGTCACATGATGTGGCTTGTACATCCTTAGGTAATGCATGGCAGCGCCAGAGTCACGGCAAGAGCATGTCAGCCCCACATCGAGCAGATGAATAAGCAGAATCCAAGGATATCCTCAAACAATGCCACTATAAATACAACCTCGCCTCTTTCACACTCACAACCGCCCAAAACGACCCGCCCGTAGGAGATCAGAACAAATCTCCAAGATGGCCGCCGCACCTCAATCGTTCTACGAGCTTTACCGCCGTAGCAGGTACAGCGCCATTCAACTTAATTACTACATACTCGTGCTACAGATGACTAACTCATTTACTTGATGCAGCATCGGCCTTGCGCTGACAGATATGCTGGACGATCTCATCAGCGAGGAGCGCATTCACCCTCAGTTGGCGATGAAGATCCTGGCCAACTTTGATCAGGCCATCACAGAGGCCCTGCAAAAGAGCGTCAAGGCTCGCTTGACTTTCAAGGTACGTGCTGCTTACTTATCATCTTGCTCGTTTGCGCCGGGGTTCGATCTCTATTGCCAGCCTCCGGCGCATAACCCACAATACCTCTAGTTTAGAAGTGATTCCCTCTTGGAATGCGCAGGAGATGCGCCCAATTGCCATGAGAATTGTGAATCAGAGCTAACGTTGCGCGCATCACAGGGAAGCCTGAGCACCTACCGATTCTGCGACGAAGTCTGGACGTTTCTTATCAAGAACGTTCAATTCAAGCTGGATAATGGCGGGCAGATCGTGACCGCCGACAAGGTCAAGATTGTCAGCTGCAACGCCAAGAAGCCCGGTGAAGGCCCTTGAAGGGTATGCGCCAACAATAGAGAGCATCAGAGGCGGCCTCGACCACCTTACTCGGATACACGAACGAGACGCATTTGCGGACAAGGGCGATGGGAACGACGACGAGCGCCCCCAGTGGCTGCATATTACAGGCGTTCAGGTTCATGCTCTTACGATGGCACGGTTTAAGGATACGGGAGTTTGTTCTTTCAAGATTGCCATTTTGATACCATCAGAGGTTTATACAGCATCGCTCATAGGTTTGCGTCAGCGCATCAATAGACTGGCTGCCTGCATTTGAACTGTGTTACGACTGGTAATCTTGACTCGTGATTCGCTGCAACCTAACCCCAAGTCCAGAATGGTACTACAGCTGAATTGCAGAAATTGGCTCAATGATTTGGTTCTTGCCATCGTGTTATTCTGCACAGTATGTAGACAAATACTGCTCGCCCATCATACGTCATCTTATCCCGTTTGTCCCAACTGGGCCAGTCACGATGTCGGATATAGCCCCCATTGGCATCTATGCGTTGTACCGGTGAATTGGATAGAGACGGAGATTTGCCGCATAGTGTAATGTGTTTACAAGTTCTGGCTTCTGAGCCTCGAGGTTGAAGCAATAGCCCCTGCCATTTTGTATGTAGAGGGGAAGCCGATGCCGGGTAACTGTTGAGCAAGCCGGGGCCCCATCTTCCAGAAACGGGGAGTACAACCGAAGTGGTTCCGCGTCGGGTTTCCTCCCTGGCAATTGGCGATTGAAGACTGGTAACAATAACTTACTAAGATAGACCTGGCGCTTCTTTTCCCCTTCAGCCTCAACGGCCTGTGATTCCAACGACTTGGTCGCCAATCGAATTCCTTTGTTCATCATAAAACTTATTTCAAGTTCCAGTGGTACCGGTACAAAGATTTTGTCAGACCCGCATTCAAACAGCGAAACAACACCTCCGAGGCTCTGAAAAACAAGGACGCGTGCCCCCGGACTTGCACGCACTGGGATGTTCCCCTTACACTAGTCGTGCGGCTTCTCGAGGACTTTGTCAAACAATCCCATCCACACCATAGAGACACACACGCCAGTAGTCGCCATCAGACTTTCCCAACTGCCCGCGAACCCGTTCCTCTTTTCTCTGCGCGCGCACACACTCTCTTCCGCACGTGGGTACATCTGTCTGCAGGAGTTGCTGCTGCACCGAAACCGCAGCAGCAGTAGCAGCGGCGCACCGAGCTACCTACCTTACCTCATCCCCCATCGCCAAGCCCACCACCAAGGCCGTCATCCATCCCGTCCCATCCAAGCAAAGCAGTAATCAGCAGGGATCACTCACACCAACACCCAATCTCCCTCCTTCCTCTTCCTCTCCTTTCCCTCTCCACATAATGCTCCGCCAGCGACAACCCGCCGCAGCATCCGCCCCCGACCGCCGCTCTCAAAAAGATCAGATACCCACCATGGCGGGCGCAACGACGACGACCCTGGACAATGAGCGCAGTCCGCTGCTCCCACGCCACGAGGACGACGCACACAGCGAACCGCCAACCGAGGCAGAAGACGACGACGAGCAAGCGACTGAGAGTATGGCTTGGGCACGACGGAATCAGTGGATTGTGCTCGCCGTTGCGAGCGGCGCCTGTGCTGCTTTCAACGGCGTGTTTGCAAAGTTGTGAGTTGATATTCTCAATTCGGCTCATTCGGGGGACTATCGAGTGAGATGCCAAGACTTTATACCATTTTGAGTCGACATCACAACTTGAGAAACAAGTTGACTATTTTGCTTTACCAGAGCAGCCTGTTTCTTAGTTGGTAGCTCTGTGAACTAAATGCGCTCATTTTGAGTGTCTCGGGCACACTGTCGGGCTACCGTCTGTTGAATGCTTTACTTACAACTGCATAGGACCACAACTGAGCTCACAACGACAATATCTCAAGCAATCTCCAACTTTCTTCACCTTCAGGACATCGAAGGCGCTTTTGAGGTTGTCATGCGAGCAGTGAGTTTAAATGTTCAATCCTTATCATCAAACCGCTAATCCTGTCTCAGGTCTTTTTTGGTCTCAATCTCGTCTTCAACGGCATCGTAAGTTGTCCAGCCTACCATTCTCACCTACGTGAACTCAACTGACACTCCCCTCTAGATGTGGACTCTCTTCACAAAAGCACTCGCCAAGGGCCAGTCAACCACCCAGGTGTCCATCATGAACACGTCCTCAAACTTTGTCATCACCGCCATGCTCGGCTTCGTCATCTTCTCCGAGTCGCTGCCGCCGCTCTGGTGGGTCGGCGCCGCCATGCTCGTCGCCGGCAACGTCATCATCGGCCGCAAAGATGAGGAGGCGGACAAGTCTGGCGACTACGCGCCGGTGCCGCAGCAGCCTGGTCTCGCTCCCGTTCCGCTGGATGGCGGCGACGAAGACAAGGACTCCGAGGACGAGGATATCGTTGATTTGGGAGATTTGAATGCTGCGGAACATCGTGCTTGAGTTTAGACTGAGGTGATTGCACTTTAGAGACCTTGTACATGTTTGCTCATATATATCATGCATGTTGGATAGATAGACAATACCCCAAGTTGATTAAGAGTAAACTTAGATGAGCTCCAAATACTTCTCTCTGCTTGTATACAAATGAAGCGATTGGCTCCACACATGAGTGTTTGCATGATCTGGTAGTCGCTACCTACCACTCGACATGTACCGCTCCTCAGTATGCAAACGAGATTCTATCAGCGATGCTCCATCAAGCTGTGCTCGTTTACTCTGCATTACGAAAGAAAGAGAGAAAGAAAAAAAAGGTGAAAAAAGTGATTCGAACCGGCATAAATAATGCTACAGCGAGACGCCAGGCATCTGTAGACTTTAAATGGCAGGTTCGCGTCAGTGAAGGAGAAGCCGCACGATGGATCACTGGCCCAAAGTGTACTTTCTCGCCCACCCCGACAGACTCTGCGACTTGGTGGGCTATGAAGGACGACGAGGAGTGTATTCGTGTGGGGCTGTGTTGAACCGCAAGGGTGGCTGGTTGTGAAGTGTCCCCCAAGGTCAGTCAGTGAGAAACGCCACCCTGCTTGCCCCTTCCACCCTACTCGACGAGGGAAATTACGCCTTGCCCATGGACTTTTGAAGATGTCGGGAAAGCTTCTGAAAAGGGGGGTGGAGGCCGCGATCTCGCCAAAAGTGAAGCATATTGATGGATGTAGTAGCTTGAGATCCGCATGACATGTAACTTATCAACATTACCATAGCTAGCAGAGTGAAGAATAACAAGCTGTCGTCTATGGCGCTATATCAGACCGCGAGACAACGGAGGAGGCCTTCACCATTTCCAGCTAGAACTATATCTCTCGGTCATCGGAAGGATACTGCCTATTGATAGCTCATCGATCTTTGGTACCTACAAGAGCTGGGATGGAGGGTGGCTGGATAATAGGGAATATCCTAGATGGCCTAGATGGCCTAAGTAAGTGTAGTGAGCCGTATATTGAAGAATAACCTCCCTGAGCTCCGAAGAAGTACTGACTCACTCGCATATGTGCCGTCAAGAAGGAGGAGACGCCTGGGTCTCACCTCCTTCCCTCTTATTACAAACTAAATCAACGCCAGGTAGCCAAGGAGTATGGCCGAAAGCGCCAATCTCAATATCACAAGTCCTCTCAACCACCCTTAACTATTTGCTTCTTCCTCTCATCCTATGCACCTAGATATCAAAAGAGTCTCAACACCAAAGGGTTCAAGACGAAAAAAGAGTTCACCCCCCCGGTGCTGAACTGGGGGCTACATCTCTCGGTGCTCATGCTGGGATTCGAACTCGGGTACTCGCTAAGCCTGTCGTCGAGTAGGCTGGTTGGCGTATGTGTAAATCGATCGTTGACCATAAACCATTCCACCACCTGTCCCAGTTTGACCTGACCTCTCGACCTAGAGAGGCGCCTGCTGGTGACTGGAATGGACTTGAGGGGGGGTATATACCCTTCTCGTATATTCACACGGGGAGGGTAGGTACGCTCGGGGGCCGCGAGGAGGGAAGGAACCATGAGATGTGCTTTCGCAGCAATCGAACACCGCAAATCTATTCGACGTCTATGTGCCCAAGCCCCTATATGTTCGTAACTAACATTGTTGTATACATACGCCCGACCTCCCAAGATGACCATGTCCCTCACCACCCGAATCACACATTTCAAACTCCAAAGTTCCGAGAGTCGCCCGCACCAAATGAAATAAATCTAGAAAACCTCCCTTTACCGGTTCTCGAGCTCCAAAGCGCCGTCATCGACGTCGTCCTCGTCGCCGTCTAATATCTGCGCCCCAGCCGGCCTTCCGCCACCGCTTCCGCTGCCGTTGTTACCACCGCCGCCTCTGCTTCCACCGCCCATACCCCGTCGCTCTTCAAACGACGAAAGTTGGATTCGCCCGCCGGAAGCCGTTGTCACCTTGTCAGAAACCCACCCAGCCGCACGCCGCATCGCACTCCACAACTTTTCCTGGCTCTCCGCAAAGGCAGAGTCGTCGCGCGGATTCTCAGCATGCTCGGCTGTGAACTGGTACTTGAGGCAGTCCTTGACTGTCACCAGACCCGACAGGCGGCCGTGGTACTCGACGAGCACGACTCGTGGGCCGATTTTACGGAACAACTCCATGACGGTCTCAAGTGGTAGGCGCGGGTGCGCTGTGACAGGCGTGGTATCGATGTACCGACTGAAGTCAACCGACATGGTCGACATGGGGTCAAGGTTGACCGTTACAGTCGGCGTCAGCGGAGTAGTTGCGTTCAGTGACGCCGGCGGAGGCGAGAAAGTGCACCGGGCCTCTGGGTTGATGGGTCTTTCCCGTCGTACGCGGTCAATGGCGTAGCGCAGCTCGGTGCGGCCGATGTAGCCGACGAGGATCTTGGAAGTTGTGTCTTCGACGATGGGGAAGCCCTGGTACTTGTCCTCCTTAAGAAGCTTCTCAAGCTCGGAAAATTCCATGCCGCTCACGGGTAAAGATGTAAGCTCCTTTCGCATCACTTCCGAGACGGGGACGCCAAAGTTGTGCTCTTCCTTGTTGTCTAAGAAGGGGAAACCACTGAACCAGATCATCCTGTCCGCAATGCCGCCCTTGCCGAACATTTCGCTGACGATCTTGGTCACACCCACCACGATCATGGTGGGTAGAATGTACGTCAAGGCGCCGGTGAGCTCAAACATGATGACAACGACAGATACGGTAATGTGCATGATGCCGCTCAGCGCGGCAGCAGCGCCAAGGAAGGCGTACGTGCCGGGGGTGATACATGGCTCGTCTGGCTTACAAGCTGCGAAGAAAGCGCTCGTAGGGTTAGCCTCGTGAATGGCCTGAACAATAATGCCCACTGTCCGCCCAAATGAAGCCCCAATGGCCATGGACGGAACGAAGATACCAGCTGGCACTTTGCAGCCGTACGAAATGATGACCAGCAGGATTCTGAGGATTGTAGCCAGAGCCAGTGACAAGATATTGGAAAGTCTTTTGTCTGGCTCACACAGGCCGTGGTAGTCCTCAGCCCCTTCGCATTCGAGGAACAGGATTTCCATGCTCTCAGTCATGTCGATCCTCAAAAAGACGTTGGGGTAGCAGATAATGGCAGTGCCTGCCGCGAGAATCGTTGCCTCCGCGATGGCGTACTTTGACAGGTACTTCTTCCTGAATGCCTGAGCCCGCAGATTCCATTTCATCACAAAGGCGCCGTATAGACCTCCAAAGATGCCCAAGATGATGTAAAAGACAACCTCGAAGAAGTGCCACGAGCGATCGTAGTGGACCTGGAACATGACGAGCTGTCCCGTCCTGAAGGGGTTCATGGCCGCAAGCACAGCCGTCGCCACAAGAGCGCAGAAGTAGCTGCGCCACAACGTCTTGAGGGGAAAGTAGTTGGACATCTCTTCCAAAGAGAAAAGCACTCCGCCAATTGGACTACCGAACGCGACGGCGACACCAGCAGCGGCGCAGGCGCTCAGTATCTCTCTCGTCTTGGAGGCGTTGCGTCGGTACTTCTCGAATAAGCGAGAAATGACGTTTCCGGTACACACGGCATAGTGTACACTGGGACCCTCCTTGCCGACGGACAGACCAGAGGCGATGGCCAGGGGCAGACAGACGGACTTGATCAAGAGCGTCCAGAATCCCAAGAACCCCTTCATGACGAAGCCCGCAATGATGCACTTGATCTCCGAGATACCCGATCCCGCGGCGTAAGGTGCAAACGACTTGACCAGAGTGGCCGAGGTGAAGGCGAAGAGGGCGCCGACGACAATGTAGATAACGTAGTTGGCTGGGCCGAACCCCGTCCAGGGATGCCACTCGTCGCATCCATTGTCCTCTCCCCAGCAGCAAAAGTTCTCGTTCAGGTAGAACGCCGTTGTGCAGTGCCCCATTTTTATATCGGACAACCACTCCGTAATGATGTTCAGGAACGCAGCGTTGAGTCCAATGGCGATACCAATCAGCGTGACGACGAGCCAGCCCTGCGCAGCGTCGTAGGACTCGCGCAGACGATACCTCCAGCCCGCGGCCTGGCCTGTGTCGAGCATGCCGGCGCGCCGCCGTCGACGCAGCTTCTTGCGCGCCTGCTCCCTGGCGGCATCTTGTACCCAGTCTATGGTGGTGAAGTCCTCGTAGCGCTTGATCTCGGCGATCTCGTCCTCGATCTGCTGCTGCTGATGACTCGCGGGCGGGGCGCCGGCGGCCTCGTCATCGTGCTCGCTCTGTTCGGCGGTCGAGACGGCAAAGGAGATCCTCGAGCTGATGGAGGGGCGCGGAGGCCGGTGCGGGCTGTGCGAGAAGGATGTGCTTCGGGAAGTCATTGTCGCATCCGCGCCGTGCTCATGTTCGCGGCGGTCGAGGATTCGTGGTGATGGGCCGGACGTCCCAATGGGTGTCGTCCTTGGAGTTTAGCTGCTCTTTGGTTTGATTTGGCTCTTGTTCTAACAAGGCTTCGTATGGTATGTAGTCGTAGTTGTTCTCTAGGCAGGCCTTCTTAGGTTGTTAATCATCAGGAGGAGGTATGAGAATGTAGTCGTAGTCGCAGACTGCGGCGACGAGGCTAGCTGGGTGAGCAAGGATAATGAGGACAGTGATGGCCGATTTGCCGTCTCCCAGCTAATTGGTGTCACTGGGGACGCTGCGAACGTCTCCAATGTGGCGGGGGATCCCCTGCAAATGGCGTTTAAGCTTCCACTTACCTCGCCCGGTACGCTGCACACCGGCGCATTTTTAGTGGTCGCGTCCCAATGGCCTTTTTGGCGCGACCCGACTCTATCAAAAGTGATTCCCTCTCTCCTCGACGACCACATCTGAGAAGACATCTCACATGCACGAAACCTACGACCGACGATACCACGGCAACTACCTAGCGAATAAATCACTTCGTCACAGCTAATCAGCTTAGTCAAGACAGAACCAAGCAGACTCGACCGTTGACGCCGGTATCTCTCCACCCCCTTATCCTCCTCGGCGGCCACTCACGCCAAGGCTCAATCAGGTAGGCTGTTCTTCTTCTCCTTCACCAAAATCCGCATCTCGGCCCTATGGCACGGCAAATTTCGACAAGAGCATGACAACCGGTATTTTTATGTATTATGAGACGTTATAAGATAGACCTTGGATTCATTCCTGGGCTCACTTCCATGCACCCCATTAGACTGGATTTGCATGAGCTCCGGAGATGATCTCTGTTGCTTGGCCTGCTTTAGGCACCCTATGAGAGGTCGTCTACCTCAGGTCCTTCAACCAACTCAGTTTAAACCCATCTTCCTGCATGCTTAGGCGCCTTGGGAGGTCTTGCCAACTTACACGAGCTTTCATAACAAAGTCCATTGTCTCATATACCTAGTAGCTAACATCAATCAAGGCACATCACCTGGACCTCGCCTCCTGACAAGATACCACTCACATCTCATCTCAACTCACAATGCCTCCCAACAACAACGCGATACCTCCCAGGAAGGAGGTCACAGGCCAGCCGGCTCTGCCTTGTAAGCCCCCTTTCCCTCTTTCCATGGTATCATGGGCTTTTCTCACACTCCCCTGACAGTGGCCCGCGTGAAGAAGATCATTGGCACAGATCCAGACATTGGAATCTGCTCAAACAACGCGGCTTTCGTAATCACTCTGGCAACGGTATGGCGACCCTACCTACGCTCTTCCTCATCATCTCTCATCGAAGGCGTCTACTGACCCTTGACTCAAAAGGAAATGTTTATCCAGTACCTCGCCGCCGAGGGCCATAACATGGCAAAGGCAGAGCGTAAACCCCGTCGTAACGTTCAATACAAAGATTTGTGTACGTGAACATTACGAACCCTCCAGCTGCAATCGCTACACTTTTACCTCGAAAGATTCTTGAGATGTTTCAAGAAGTGGTGTAGAGGAAGCAAAACGGGAAAACAGCTACTAACAAGACACTCCACATCCTCCAGCAACCGCAGTCAACCACCACGACAACCTCGAATTCCTCGAGGACGTCATCCCCAAGACGGTCCCCTACAAGCAAATCAAGGACTCGGCCGCCGCCGCGCGCCTCAACCCCCGGAAAGCTGACCAGGAGCCCAAGAAGCGGCAATCCACCCTCAAAACAAAGGGTGCCAACGCAGGCGCTTCCAGCAGCAGCAACAGCAACGGTGTCAATGGCTCAGCCGCCGCTGCCGCCTTGGATCCAGTCACGGCTGTCATTCACTCCGACGATCCCAGCGCCCAGCTGGTCGCCGAGGCTCGTCGTGCGGCTGGGGACGAGGATGTTGACATGACGGGATAGGGAAAGGTCTAGTCCGCTCCTCTTCTCCGACGCTCCCTTATGGGAGCAGCCGCTCTCACCCCTTTTTTCTTGACTTGAGCTGAGTGGGCATCTGGAAGCTTGGCATACTGTCGTTTGCGATTGTTTGTACGGAATAGGAGCCCCTTAGTCAATGAGCTTGGGTCTGAAGAGCCAACATCATAATAGCCAGAACCGCTGCATTCACCAATGAGGGGGAAAAGGACACAAAATATTACGAATTGCACAATGCATAATTGGTCTCCTTTTTTGCCACCGAATGAATATTGAATCGGTCTTTTCTCTCCCCAGATCCAACGATCCCTTCATCCATTAGCAAAAGGGGGGAAGGTTCGTTTTCGACTCAAAATATCCCCTTTTTTTTAGTTCTCCATCAACAAAACAAACGCCAGTCCATGATATGACCCGTTTTTTTTTTCGCAACCATAGTTGAAGTTGCCTCTCTTCTCTCCCTCAAGTACATCCTTCTCTCTCAAATAAGAGGAATTCGAGTGGTTGACCCTGCCTCCAGTCGCAACCAAGACACTCAGTCCTCCATGGTAGCGTCCCCGTCCAGGTGCACACCCGCCGGGATAGTCCCCTCGGTCAACATCTTCTCCAGCCGGATAATCTCCTGCAGGCTGTCGGCCTTCTTGATCATCTCCTTCAGCCGCTCCTTCTCCTTGTCCGTGAGCTTTATCCTCGAAAGCTTCGAAGGCGCGGCGCCGCCACCGGCCGTGCCATTGGAGGCTGCGGCGGCGATGTCGAGCTGTTTGGACTTGTTGCCCATGATCTGAGAAAAAACACGCCAGAATGAGTATCGAGTAGAACGTAGAATCTGAAGGAAGGGGGAAGAAGAGGGCGTGGAACATACCTTGGCCGCCGCATCCGTAGGCTCCTCCGCCGTACCAAACAGCTCCCTCGCCTTCTCCCTCTCGGCCTCCTTGACTTTCTGGTAATCCAGGAACCGCACAGTCGGACACCTCCAGACGACCCAGTATCGGTAGTTCTAAAGTCCTCGCCGTCAGCCTTCCGCCAACCCCGTCGTGAATCCTCCCCCTTTTCTTCTGTCAAGAGATACGAGAGTGGGGTGAATCATGAAAAAGCGCACCTCCTTCTTGGTCACCGGGTTATCCACCAACACCAAATGCGTCAACCGCTTGAACCCCGCCAACACATCCAGGTCCGCGAGCTGCGCAATCTGGTTCGACGCCAGCACGAGCTGCTGCAGGTTCGGAACCGCGTTGGGGAGCGAAGTCTGTATGCTCGCGACGCGGTTGTGCGCCAGCAGCAGCGTCGAGAGGCGCGTCGAGAGCGGGAAGTTGCCCAGGACCTGGATGTCGTTGTCGGTGAAGTCGATGGAGTCGTGGGGCTGTTGTTTTGCGCAATTAGAACAAACGGTTAGCCAGAGGAACAAAAAACTCAAGGAAAGCAGAGGAGGGAAGGAGAGAAACTCACGCCTGCGACACCCAGATTCTCAATCGCCGGGATTCGATGTCCTATTCATTCCAACCGGCGCAAGACGCTATCAATTCTGGCCCTCAAAAAAGTGTAGTATCTGCTCCTTTCACACAAAACGCACCTCGGAGATCAAGCTCTCGCTCCTTGAGCGGGTTCAGGTAGGAGAGCGAGCCCTTGATGAGCTCCGCCGTGAGCCTCATCTTTGGTTTCTTTGGCTTTCGTTGGTGGTAGAAGTGCTGGTGATTTGGTTGTGCTGGGGGTTACCTCTCTCGAAAGTTCTCGGGTTCGCCGTGGGTTCAGTGGTTTTGCGACTCGGGTTTGGTCGTCAAGCTGTGTCGTCGGTCAGTTGCGCCGCCGCAATTCGCTTTTTCGTTGTCGCGTCTTGGTGTTGGTCGCGTGGGTATAATAATGGGTGGACGATTCGACGAGGCTGAAAAGTTGGCGGTCGAACAAGGCGCCCAAAATTTGCCCGCCTGATTAGAGCTGCCATCCCCGCGATGTCGTACTGTGTATTCACTTCTCAACACGGCCCATTCTCCACTACGGGTACGCCTGGCTCGTAAAGATTGATTGATCACGCACTGTGTCTTCTGTACCTTTCACCCAAGGTACGTCTCATTCTTAAGATATTCAAGTTGAATAGACATGATATTGTATTCGTCAGATAATATTTCATCAACGAGGATCCTATCATTATCAGGTGATCATTGGCAAGACTATAATTTCTTCCCCCATGTGTCATTAATCTTGTATAATGTATTCACTAGGTATCTATGTTCAAAGAACCCTCGACCAAACGCCCGAGAAGCAATCCGCTATGAAAACACAAACACCACGCCAGATCGGTCCACCGACAGCGTCATGCTATACGGGAGTTCAATCAGCGCAACATCCATAATGGAATCCAAGTGAGACCGCAGAAGCTGCTGCTGCTGAAGCGAAATCACAGTCGAGCGCGGCGGTCGCCCACCGGCCGCCGTACTCTTTCCGCTGACCGCCGCATTCGGAGCCGTTGGCGCTTGTCGTGGGATCCTCTCCGTGTTCAGCGTCATGGCCGTCGTCGGATGGGAGGCCGTGAACGTCGGCTTTGGATCCTCCCCTTGCAGCCCGCTGTAGACCACCGAACTTTCTATGCGAGACAAGTCCCAGAATCGTAACTTCTTGTCCGATCCCGCGGTGACGATGAATGCATGCCGTACGTCGCGCGAGTCCTCCGAGGCGCCTGTGCCTGCTACCATTGCACGAACACCTCGGTCCGTGTTTCCGGTACCGCTAGGCTCAATGTTGGTAGCAAATCGCCCAAGCATACCTTCAGGCTTGTCCTCGTCCACTTCCCAAGCCTCGTATCCCTTCGGGCCCTCCTTATTGCCCCCAACGCGGTAAATCTCTCTGCAGATTGTACGCTCTAGGTCCCAGACGGTGACTTCGCCCTGACCCGTTCCACCAGCGACGCAGACCCATTTGCCTCTGCCCTTGCTCGGGTGTATGCATAGCCTGTAGATAGAACTCTTGCCTGGAACGCCCCAACCCTTGAGTCTCATTCGGAACCTTAGGTCCCAAAGGTCTATGACTCCATGAGTTGTGCCTACGCATAACCAATTTCTCTTACGATCGACACAGAAACACGTAGGTGTACCATGGTGGACAGGGTTCTCCAGCGTATACAGCAGTGACATGGTCCGCAGGTCGATTCCGAGAATCCTGGAGCGATTTGTCGCCAGGAGCATCACCGAGGTGGATTCCACTTTAAAGTGCTCACACCACACTGCGTACTCGTCTTCTGGAAGCTGATACTCTCGGAGAAGACGAAGTTTCCCGTATCGCAGTGTGCCACTTGCCGAGACGGTCTCGACCTTGACAATGTGAACGCTTCCATCGCTGGCACAGCTGATGAAGCAGTGTGTGTTCTCAATGAAGCACAGCGCAAGCACCCTGGCCCCATCGGCGTGCTTATGGCTTTGCCTTGATCGGTGCGTGATGTTCTTCTCGAGACGCGCACTATCCCAGACTCTGACGGAGCCATCATCGCCTCCCGTGATGAAGAACACATGGTCTGGAGACACCACCAGACGGTTGATTGAGCCGGTGTGTTCAGCAAACGTGGCAACCATGCGTCCCTGTGGACGCCACGGCTCATCGCCTGGCTGTCCCACTGAGCGATTCGTTTTCCGACGTGTGATAGGGGTTACCATCGGTCCAAACTCGGCAATATCGTGAGGATAGTTGTCCTGGTACATGGAGTCGAGCATTTTGAGAATGCTGGGGTCGGTTCCCTCGTAGGAGTGATTGGGCCTTAGTTTCGCCACGACACTCGCAGTGCTGGTTGAACGATCCTGTAGATTTGGTCGAGCAAGAGAAGTAGGAGCAAACGGACCCTCCACTTGGCCAACAGCATTTGCTCCCGACATGCCAGTCTCCGGCACGCTCTTATTGCTGTCTTTACGGTCCAGAAGACTAAGAGCGCTGGCCTGGTGGCGAATGGCCCTCCGAGTTGCGTAAGGCTGATCATGGATAGAGGCCCCATCGTCAGTCGGGCTCCCGACCGTGAGCTTGCCCTGCCCAGTCGATGTGCGTCTCGCAGGATCGATCTCTCTCACACGAGAAACATCACGCGAAGTAGACCCCTGGTCTTCCACCACACGAGTCCGGAGACTGTTGAGAGCTGCGAACCGTCTCCTTCCTGTCGAGTCATCGATTGTCATGGAAGCATCCAGAAGGGCGTCAGCAATGGTGTACGGGCCCTTTTGGTTTGACTCGGGGGTGAATGTGGACTGTTGCAGTGGCTCCTCGTCAAAGAATACTGTCTGCGGCGTGATGCCGAGACTCTTCAAGGAGATCACTTCGTTGAGCTTAGCCGGTTCGCCGTCCATTCCATCTCGCGACTTCATTTTGCTGATTCGCCAAATGAACTCTCGCAAGACGAGGAGTTTGAACTCGTCGTCCGGCCCAAGACCAAGGTTCCGAAGGCGTCCAAGCCATAACTCGTCTTCATCGTTCCGCGAGACTTTGCTCAGGGTATCCTTAGACGACCGACTGCTGATAGTCTTGGGAAGCGATCCAAACGAAAATGACCTGAGCTGCTGCGTCAGCTTCCAGAAGACGCCTTTGTCGGTCTTGAGAGCCCAGACTAGGGCCTGATCAAATACGGCTCTCGACATTGGCCGCTTCAAAGCGTCCAACAGACTGAGCTCTGAAAACGCAGGAACCATTCCAGTCTTGAGGTAGTGCTTGACCAGGGGATATACGATGCACCTGACGTCTGCTGGAGACAAGAAACGAGTCGTCTCAGATAAGAACTCTGTCGCGGATTCCCGGATCCATTGGTTGGGGTGCATCGTAAACCGTGCAACAACCTCAATAAGTTCCCAAATCTTGGTTTTGGAAAGGAGGCCCAGCCGTGCTAGCTGTGCTAAAGAATGCAGGGCTGCTTGTACCACGAACTCCTCTGGGTCGGTAAAGGCCTGCACCATGAGCGGTAGCATGAACTCCTCGAGGCTGACGCTTCCCACCACGCTAGCTATGCTGACGATGGTTTCGAAGAAGGCACACTTGAGCATCCAGTCTCGGTCGTTTAAGTAGGTGTTCAAATGGGTTAGAAGAATGTCGTTTGCCTCTGCGGGACCAAAGAAGAGGCACAAATCGGGTACAGAAGTCAAGAACGCCCTGCGAACAGAAACGTCCGAATCTTCCACGAGTGCCTTCGTATGGAGCTCGAACATTTCGTAGAGTTCGCGTTGTGCGTCGTCGAATAGCCCATCAAAGGCAGCCTCCGCTTCGATCCCTGGCTCGAGCTCAGGATCAGCTACCGTCAGGGTTCCATCTGACTTGAGGGTTGCCGCGAGCTCCAAGTACCGAGCAGCTGTGGTCGCAAGGCTTCCGATACAAGATGCATAGGTTGCTCGTACTAGTGGGCTGGCCGGTTTCGATGGTGCAATCAAGGCACTTTGCAGTCGAGGTAAGATGTACTCGACAAAGATGTGCGAGTTGACGGGAGACACCACTCGGACTAGGTGTAACAACTGAGATATGGACCGGAGCGCTGCGATAACCACAAGTTCCGACTTATCGTTAAGAAGCGTCATGAGGTATGGCAACACGCGGTCTAGTTTAGCTTCGTCCGTGATTCTCTCGGAAAAGGCGAGCAACACATCACAGGCTCTGATCTTCGACGCCGCCCTAGCTGTATTACGGAGGGATGAGACAATCAGCGTGAGGAAGATCAAAGTCCCGTCATCTTCTGGCGGGTCGGACGACCCGGTGATGTACTGTTCATGGTTTGGTATGTTGAGGCGAACAGGAAAGTGGCCCAACCCCAGCTTTCCGGCCAGGGGCTCGGCTTGCATTGGGCGTTTGTCGTTTGGATAACCGAGGAAGTAAGATATTTTGTCAAAATCGAGGAATACGCGGTCGATACGGTCGTCCGCTTCTCCCAAGTTCCTCGTCGCACCAGATATAGGACTGTTCCCAGATGAAGGATCCGTAATCAACTCCATGTACTGGTGAAGGAAGTTGTAGAAGTACTCGGGGAAGACCTTCTTCTTCCAGAAATCCAAATATTGCTCTGCAGAGTACCGACGTTCGGGGTCAAGCTGGATCATGTGCGATATCATATCCCGCAAGTCCTTGTCCGGGATACGACTGATCTGAGAAATGACTGGGTCGTACTCGCCCTTGCGAAACTTGTACAACGAACTGAGTGTGAATATGGGCGACTCCAAGAACATCTCAGCAATGACGCAGCCGGCACTGAAGACATCCATAGCCCACGTAAGCTTCGCGTCCTTGCTGTTAACCTCCTCCGCAGCGACGAAGCGTTCGGGCGCCACATAACATGTTCGCCGCCCGGATGTGTCAAAGTAGTACGAGAAGTCGCCTGGATTGTCGTCGGGTAGCAGGATGGGCTTGAAAGGAGCGGAGAAGTCGGAGAGGTACAGCCAATTCCAAGATGTCACCAGCGTGTTCTCCGTCTTGATGTCGCCATGATAAATGTCTCGGGCATGGCAGTCGCGCAGGGCGCACAGCAGCTGGAAAGCAAGCCATTTCTTCTCGATATCCTCCAGGAATGGACGGGTGCTCATGCGATCGTAGAGGGAGTTGTAGAGGAACTGTCGGACTAGGTAGCCATTCGTTTCGGTCTCGACGATCCGGTGGAAGCCCAGCGCATTGGGCACATCGGCCAGGCCGCTACGTTGTTCTTGAGATAGTCAGTCATATGCTCAGCGGTTTCGGGAAGCAATTCAAAGACTGGCTCACTCTCTATGTCGCGTTTGTACTTCCCCAGAGGCATCGGGGTGTACGGCTTGACTAGGACTTTGACAAGAGCGACTCCATCGTGATGCCTCGCGCGTATGCTCTTCATGAAGCGCGCATTTCCGATACTCTTCTCGTACACGAGGTCAGAGAGCTCGGGTATATCGATACCCGCTGAGCCCGCGGAGGGCGTCGCCAGAGAGAAACCTTGGCCCATGGCGGGCAGAGATAGCTCAACTGCTCAGGAAGCTATGCGATTACTTGGTCGGTGTGGTGGGGAGCGGTCATGTTGGGGAAAGCAAGTCGCAAAAAGCAGTCATTTGACCTAGGTGTACCGAGAGACGGGACTCTATCTGTGGTAGAGTTCACGTTGCGTCGCGAGGCTTGACGAGTTGTTGGTAAAGATGCCTTGCAGCAGTGATGCAATCACGAGTGCATTTAGGTCACCGTCCCCAGATCGAGTAAGGTACCTGGCGCGGGCGGGACGTAGGCTGTCCACTTAAGCAATCAGTACCTTAAGGTACCTTCCCTTACGTGGTACATCGGCGTCCCGCCGCTTATAACCTCCGCACCGCGTACCCGTAAACCTGGCCCGTGCCTGCACCCCTGCCAGGCCTAAGTGGAATGATTGAAGCTCACCCGGTAGCTTGATACCATATTTATCGAAACGAGAAGTAGGTAGCTTACAAAGCTTGATCTGTATACTGTCATTCAAGCACATCAGGTATGTTAGCTCTGTCCGCGTCTACAAATGAATCAAGCAGGGCTGATGCCAAAAGCTGATCACCAGTAATGCAACCTGCAGGAGCTCTCAAAAGCTGGTGTGTCTTACCCCAGCGTCCTGACGGTATCATTGCTCAACCCATAGAAGAACCGTTTCGATTACTGATATCCCCAACTTGGTGGCTGATGTGTATACTCCATTTTAAGCACCGTATTATTACACTATCGTCTGGACTCAAGCAGGAGTGTTGCTTCTCAGAACATCAGCAGTAGCTGCCTCAGACAGGTGGGTTACACACAGCTCACTTACCGTAACATTAATCGGAAACCAGCTCACCCAAGAGAGCGATAGAGACACACACAAAACACAAGCTGCCTACATAACCGACAGCTTCCCAGCGAATCAGCACGCAAGAAGGGCGCCCAACGATCGCCAAGTTGCGAGATGGCACATGTCAAGATCTCCCCGAAGCGGAAACCTCCTCATACCTTACCGCGTAAGGTACCTAGGAGGAGCTTGAGGAAACTGACCCCTCCAAAAGACCCCCCAAACCCCCACCTTGACGCGCGCCGCAGCAGTAAGAGCATGGAAGTCGAAAGGCCACCGCCTACACCGGGAGGTAACCCGGCCGTCTCGGCGTTCCACGTCACTAGCGAAAGACAAAACCTACTTCATTCCATTCGTACGAGATAAGGTGAGAGGAAACGACAGGTCTCAGAAGCTAGAATAAAACCGCCCCTCCTCTTCGGAGGAACACCTTGGTATTGGAAAGAATAGCCCGCCGGTATTAATCCCAAGCGGAAACCCTTTCAAACACGACAAGCTGCTCATCTTGGCAGCAAACCCTTTTACTCTTCCCTTACCTCGCCCAATCCCAAGCCTATTCCATGATCCTCCCCAAACTGCGCAATCCGAAGCGAGCGAGAGGTAGGACAGTAAGAGTCATGCCCGTCCATCAAAAGTGGATGACTCTGTAGATACAGTTCGTCTGAAGAGCTACGCCATACCTACGATGCCCATGTCATCAGTGTCAAGATCTAGGTCTCAAAGTCTCATCCCACCAAACTCTCTTTCCAGCCCCAGCCTCACCGCCAAATTCCACTTTCACAAACACCTCCTCGTTGTGTCAGCATTTTCTGTGCTTCTTAACTCGCGATCTTAATCTTCCTGGTTCAGGGACTTTCCCGACGGAGCACAAGCTGAAAGAAGCTGCTCATGCGCCCGTGACCACAAGAGTTTCAGCTCCCGATGCGGATGAAACCATTCAGGGTAGCATCAGCGGCACCAATACCACACTATCATGTCTGCCTCACAACCGTCAGCTATAGCAAGAAGCATCATCAGTGTGAGAGAACTCTCTTTGGAATTTGAGCTAAGTAAATTGAGCGGCTATCCAGTAGGTTACAGGAGGAAGCCAAAGTAATATCGTCAGGCCATGTGTAGCAGGATAGGTTTCGCGCCGCAACGGCCAACGATTAAGACGAAATCCGATTCACCTCCTCAAGACCACCTGCCCAGGCTTTGTCGTTGTCCTCGCCTCCACCTAGTCGATCGGGAGTCGATGTGGTGACCAGATAATACCAAGGACGACAAGCCAGACATATCCGCTGCCGCAGGCTCAGCTCTTCTGCCCAAAAAGTCCGCCATTAAGTATGTCGCATAGGCCCTCCCCGACCTCTTACTCCACAAACATCAGTACCTCGTCACCGCACCATGGGTATATAAGTCGATTGTTCGAAATGAAAGGGGAGAGCGCATTGCGTGCGTGTTCGTCATAAAATTAAGATCGCGTATCGTTGTCTCATCAGAACCACTCGCATGGGGTGCTCGAATTGGTCTGTGAAGGCTTCCGAGTGGTCATCGTGATTCGAAGCGATGCCGCGTTGAAGAAGAAAGTTTCGTTCGTTCGTCTAGGATTGATGACATTAGGCGGGTCGTCGCAGAAATGTAGTTACTTCGTCTCTATGTGCAAAATGCCAAGGGAGTCAAGTGAACTGCGGTCGGTGGAAACGTTAAGCACGTTTCATTAAGAGTCGCTGGTCAATGTCGCCCAAGGGAAATTTCGACCTCTCTGTGAGGCCGAAGTCAATACAAGCTCGATGCCTCAACGCCGTAGCCCATGCTGAAAAGACAACTATTTTCGTTTAGGTGTATGCAAAACTCAGTAAGTTGGTCTTGCGTTTTCATGAAAAAGATGAGTGTCCTTGGTGAGCGCTGGAACCTTCTGTCGAGACATCCCCTTCAATAGTTTTCCTCCAGTGTTCCGGTAAGCAGACGCAAACGAGGGGGAAGGCCTTGATCTCGCCGCTCACGGGCGGCGAATTGTCTTGATGCCGGCCAGAAGTGTTGGAAACACCGCTGTCTCGTTGGGCCTGTCGTCGAGCTTCCCATTCATCGGCCCTCTCATCCACCAGAATACCCGTTGCCCAACCGTCATCCCAGATACCCACAATCTTGAGCATGTCGCCGCGTTCGAGAGTAAACTCATCGGGGGCACGGGGTTGATAGGCCCAGAGTGTAGCGACTCTATCGCCGGGGTGGATGTCGTCTTGAGAGTAGTAATCCTTGAAGAATGGCAGCTGCTCAGATTGCTGGCTGGCCATGCCTTGTGGAGACGACATCCCGGCGCTTGTTGGCGATTGCGGATCCGCCAGGACTGAGCTACTAGACAGAGATCCCGTCCTCCGGATGTTAGTGGGAGGGGGCCGTAGAACACCAGCTCTGGATTCCGACTCGGGGCTGTCTCCAAATTCGGATGAAGACGGATCGTCACCTCTCCTCCTGCCCGTCATATATCCTGCTGCTCCTCCAGCGGCGGCGGCCATGAGGGGGCCACTGTTGCGACTAGGCGGAACAGGAGCCGGGTCTGATGCGCTCTCCAAAGCTGACATTCGGGCGATTCGGCCGCCGGGCAAGACTTCGTAACCGCTCGTGGTCTGGGCCGGTGCTATCTTAACCGTAGACGGTCCTTGCCTAGAGGGCGACGGTTGGTTGAACACACTGCCCTTCTGGCTCCCACGTCTTCTTCTTTTGGCGAGCAAGATACATGCGAAGATGAGACCGGCAAGCAACAGGGCGCCTACCACGCTGCCGATAACGATACCAGCAATGGCACCACCTGATAGCCCTTTGGATGCAGCTGCCGTATTTGACGGGGTCGGGGTCGCCGTTGCCGTTGGGGGTGCGAAGGTCATGGTAGGGAAAATGGAGGGTAGCGTGACTCCGGCACAACGCTGGTCGATGTTCGCGTTGTAGCAGCATGTGTCAGTAGAGTTAATACCACCAGATGCGCAATAGGAGCACAATCCCACGGTGCTGTTGCCGTATCCACAGTTCTCCTTTTCGTTGGCGATGCCTTGAATGCAGTTGGAAGATGACAGAGAGCCGGCAGGCAGAGCGCAGTTGGTAAAGTCTGCTCGAATTTGATTGACGAGATTGCTGCCCGGATTGCCGCAGAGACTGCTGTCCGAGGTGAGCAGAGCCTCACTTTGTGCGAATTCGGCCTTTGATTCACGTTAGCAACTGTCGCAACTGCTGCCAGTTCCATGAGTCACTTACACAAGTGTCGGCGCACACGGGTCGTGAGTTGGATGCAGTCAAATTGCATGCGTCGATCGAATTCTGAACAATTGAGTTGCAGACAACTGTAGCCGTGAAACGTGCATATAGCTCGTCCGGGTTGGTAAGATTGACATTGCTACAGCCAAGTAGTGTTTGATACCTGGTTACGTGTGAGCAAAAGCGTTTACGAAATCGCCGACGGATGAGCTCACTTCTCCCGCACGTATGTTGTCTCAAGATAAGACGACATCTGCTGATCAAATGTTTCTCTGCTGGACACATATTGAAGGAAGGGGCTATTGAGGATGGTCAGTATAGGTCACGGCGATTAGTGATTACACAACGTACAAAATCCCCGCCACAAAGCCTGTAGTCGAAACGGATGCTGATTGAAAAGCTGAACATGTCGTCGAGCCCTGCAGAGAAATACAGCTTGACTGCGCCGAAACCACTGCCGCGGACAGCACTGACGAAAGTGCCGCTCTCGCTATTTGACCCATCACTCTTCCTCTGCCTGTAGGCTTTCCTTTACCGGTGGTTGAAATTGTCGTTCCGTAACTCGTGGCCACCAGCTTGGAAGGCTCGATTTGAAGTCGTTGGTCAGAGAAGGATCCCGTTCATGACTATCTTTCCAAAAATTTCACAGATCGTCGTCCCGAAGGAAATTCTTGGCGGGCCGAACGGGAGATCGTCGTGAATGTTTGACAACTAAAGTAAAGAGTGCTTGTGGCTCTGAGAGATGCTGGACGAGTGATAGTCGTAACCAAAAAGGATTCGGGCAGTCGTTCAATTGATTTTGTAAAGAGGCCGAATCGTTTACACTGAGCTGTTGTTGTTGTTGTTGTTGTTGTTTTGTTGTCGTCGGGAAAAAGAGGCGAAACGGCGGGTAGGTGGTTGATCAACTGGTGTCAATTGAGAAAATAGCTCCAGGTGGGGGCCGAGGAAGGTGAGAGACTGTCGAATGCTCGGGAATTCGGGTCGCGATTAACTTATTGACATGGAAATCGGATCGAGATTTCGTCGCAGGAAGGAGGTTGACCAAGGGATTCAGAAATAGGTACTCGGGGAACTGCACCACTAGGTTGGTGGGTTGCGAGAGGTAAGAGGCTGAACGAGAGTAAGTAAGTGAAGGCGAACAAAGGTTGATTGACGATATTCGGGTAGGAATACAATTAGGAGGATGCAGTTAAGATCCGAGACTTGTAAGGAAATTCGACGTGTCACGGTCGGGCTCGTCGAGGCGAGAGAAGAAGGGAAAGGCGATGATGGTGTTTTGAGGCGGGACGAAGCTCGCAACCACACAAACACACACACTCACGCGCAGGAGGGAAAGGGAAGGGGAGGCAAGAGGAGCACTCTGCGGCAGGTACGGGAGGACCTTGGGGAAAATAGGGAAATTTTGGAAGGCAGCAAGCAGCGCGAGGGACATGGGATGGGCACATGGGCACAGCCGATTATCAGAGGTGCGGTGGAAGGTACCCTCTCAAGTCTTCCCACGCTTCCTTCCCTCAGGTTGACCCCGGGCCGGGACCTGGGCGGTGGACCATGGACCAGGCCCTGAATGGCGACGGCACGCGGCGGGAAGGTGCAACTAAGAGGTTTGGAGGTGTGGACTTTCTTCTCTGGTAAGGATGGAAGTTCTTTCTGGACGCGAACTGGGGCCATATGAACATGGGACATGGGACATGGATGTAAGGAGGCTGGGGCCCTTGCCTTCTTTGGGTCGTTGCGAAGAGACTCTCACTCTCAGAAGGAAAAGGAAAGAGGTGAAAGCGCACCAGCAGAAAAGAAAGTTGCCCACCTCACGGCCATCACCCATCTGCAGGAAAGCCATCCGCGCGACTTTCTCTCCAATGAGAAAGAGAGACTACCAGAGACCCGCCAGCTGTGGTCGATGTGAGTGGCTGCGCTACCCAAGAGGCACAGAGGCTACTCCAGTCTGGCCCCCCATCTGTGTGGGCAGCCGCTCAAAAACTTGGGTACATGCTATGTATTCCGCATGTAGGTGCTGCAAGTTGTAACTGGAAAGGTAAAGAAAGTTGACGGTAGGAACAACCGGTACGTACTGCCCCCCTCGTACCTGGCAACGTACCAGCTACCCCTGCTCTTTACAAGAACTTGGGAAGCAACGGCCACCGGAATTGTCAGAAACAGGCAAGGCGTCTTGAGCATTCAAAATTGGTGGAGCAGGGGAGCAACTAGGAGCTGACAGGGGTGTCTCAGGGTCTCCCCTCGTCGGCCATGGATCAAACTGCCAACACTCTTCCAATTCACTCCAGGTCCTGGCCGTCCAGTCCTCTCTTACCTATTGTTGGTTTGTACTCCGTTTTCTCCCCATTCGAATCCATCCCCTCCCGTCGCTATGGATATATCCCATTTGCATAAACCACAATAAACCCCTTCATCGCAGCCGTGGGCCGTGGCCTCCAGCAGGAACTTCCCCCTTTCATGGGCATACGGGGTACTGCGTAGACTGCGTAGACAAGGCCTGTACTCCGTAGTTCGGCTCGTCAACTTAACGTCAAGGCTGTCACCGTTGTTTTTGATCATCATCTGCTCGGAACATTTCCTAACAATGTCCCGTCTCGAGTACTTGGAATCCAAGCGCCTCGACGCCGGCAGATTCAACGGATACATCTGGAGAGACGGGAGGACGGTTGGTCACCTACCGTTTCTTTCCGCCTCCTTTTCATTTCCTAAGCTTCACTCTCAGAGACACTCAATCCTAGGGCACCAAGCCATCCTACCATTCGTTTCTATTTTCAAACATCCACTGCTCACGTCTACGTTGTATTTACGGCGTCACGACACCAATGTGTTGGCAATGTGGGCAATGAAAACAAACACCACCTGAAGATGATGAGGAAGACTGGGAACATGAAAGGAATAGCTTCCGCCATGAAGGGACCATCCCTCTTTCCCCGGCTTTGTCAGGCCAGTGCGGCAATGGCGGGAAATCAGCCGTCGGCAACACGTCCTCCTCGACGTTGATCAATCTTCACACCACACGATCTTCCTTGTCGAAGCTTTATTATCGCGATGGTTGGCCCGTTCGTGCCATTCGCTGCCATCCCATCTTCGATAATGGCTCTGATGGTAGGTCTAGCCAAATCGCTCAGCATGTCAACAACAAGACTGAAGAAACCCATCAACTACAAACGCTCGTGACAGCGTCGGCAAGGGAGAGCCATGTCTCGAGAAACCATGTGCCGATACACGCTTGTTGGCAGACTGTCTCACGGCTATCGACTCGTGTTTCAACCCACTTTGCGCTACACACTCAGTTCCTCAGCTTCTTCAAGACACCTCGCAGGCTCACAGTCAGTACGGATACGAATACCTACACGCTGTCCAAGCCGTTTCCCCTCATCCATCCGTTGTGATCTTGATGCATTTCCTGGGTACGGCCGGCACCCTCCCCGTCCGAACACGGTTCACAAGACGGTTGTGGGCGACAGCTCGCAAACTGGCCGGTGCAGGACGGACGAAATCGGCAAGGTGGACAACTGCATCCACCAGAGAACGATCAATTAGGAAACGGACAACAATGTGCACAACGAGACTGATTATGTTCGCACGGCGACTGGGCGTCGGTGTGGTGGCTTTCTCACCACCAGGCTTGTGCAGGTACATGTGTCCGCAGAGTCACACTGCAGCAGCGCGGCTGTGGCGCGGCGCAACACACTGGTTGCTTCTCACAGACTGCAGTCATGACCATGACATTGCCATTGCCATTCAAGTTCCAACAAGACAATGACGCGAGTGTCAAACTACGGGCTTCCATCATCGTCAGCCCAAAAACAGAGCTCCATAAGCTAACTGAGCATAAACATGGTATCCATTCAGCGAAGAAACATCCACAAACTGCCGAATAGACTCGAGGGGCAACCAAGGCGGTTGACAAAGCGGAGTACTAGGCGAAATTACCACGACTTCGCGCATGTCTCAACCCAGCGATACTGTGCTCTGATTGGCGAGGCTCACAATGCTTCAGGATTACAACAGGGGTTGCGAATACAGTGGGGGAAATGCAGCGCAACTCCATGGCTCCCTGACCCAGAAACCGCGTCGGCTACTGGCGATACCAGCGTTTGTGAAATGAAAGATGGACCCAGCGTTGCCTCTACCTTGCGTGGCACGGACAAGGCCTAGCCACTTCGTCGGATTGTTCCCAAGGATGAACGCGCCGTTTGGATGATCTACCCAATGACAGCTCGCCTTCATTCCAACCCCATCATATCTCAATTGGGTCGCCAGTCAGCAGCGCCGAGTTCTCGACTTGAGCGTTCGAAACTTCGAGTGTGAATTGTCCAACACTCGAGTCCGATGATAATGCCGATCCTTATCGTGCCTCTCGCCGGACCATCTGCGGGATTCCGTATCCGTAGACCAAGCTTTCGGCCGTTTGTTCACCACGCGGCCAGCCGCTCCCGCTGTCACGGAGAACTCACTCAACCCTAAATCGAAGCACGTGCAATGATCAACAAACAAAAATAGAATTCGCGTGGGATGAGTGAGAAACATCGCAAATCGTCGAGCTTGAGGATCTTTACAAGCTCGTCCCATTTTCACTGCCAATCGCTTGTTACCATACACGTCAGCAGACCATGGAACAGTTCGGATCCGAGGTCAAATCCCGACTCCGGGTAAGCACGCTGAAAGTCTATATTCATACGTCTCGCGGCTATGAGGCACAGCAGGCTGGGTTGTGCGTAAGGAGTTCCTCGCCGTCTATCCTCAGCTGTGACGACAGTCCTATCTTTCCTGTTGAGTGCCCGCGGTGCTGTGGGTGAATATGATCCCTTGCATCGACATTTCCGTGCTTGGCAGTCACATACGGATTGTCCGCGCATACTGCCTCAGTCCAGGTTCAATCGGGCGCGACACCTCCAGATCTTTGCCACAGTTTGGACCACTCTTTCATATCTTGAGACACCGGCGCCACGCAATATGGTTTATCTTGCACGTCGTGGGAAGTAGAAGGATCCGAGCGTGCATGTTGCCGCTGAGTCTGAGGCTACAACGCCCTACCATTGGCTTTGTGTTGGCTTGTCGTCGAAAGCTACCAGCTACCATGCTTCCTTCTTCAAAAACGTGGCAAGCATTTGCCCCATCGAACTATAAAACCTATCCACACGTTCAACAAAGATCAACAAAGAAACGTTTCTGACTTGAGACCGTTGCTCACCACGCTACTGCACATAACGGCGTTCGAGTGACTAGGTATCTCTTAAGTACCCAGTACACTTTACAGCTCAGAGTGTCTTGATTGCCGTGTCGAAGGAAAATTACAAAGGAAGCGGCTCCGTCGTCAAATCGAGGAACGGCGGCCGTCGGCAACTACTCGCGGAGCTGCGTCTGAGAGACGACATGCAGCAATCAATCTTCGATTACTGCGGTCTCGCCGTTATTGCCTTTTATGCGGCGAAACGGTGGTGTCACATCGGTTGAAAAACTACGGCTGACACAGCTACGACTAAATCATAGCAAGTCCATGCTAATCGAATAGACGCATAACTCCGGATACTACTACTTCGGATTCATCACTCGGGGGAAATTGTCCCTATGCCTCGAGGAATACGTTGCCTGATTGGCCTATAGTCCAAGAAAGCTTGAACATTGTGCTTCAATCGGTAGATGATCCTAGATGATCTAACGTCTGACATTCGGGTCTGTTAATGACATTGCAGTAAGGCACTCCTTCCCGATTGTGTGGTTGCAGCAATACAGTAAAGCGGCGTTGTCGCAACGTCAATATGCGTCAAACCCCCATGGGTGACGGTCATATCAACAGACACGTTTGAGAGGTCATCAACGTAGTTTTGCGTTCTCTGAACAGTACGTCTTCTCCAAGTCTTTTGTCACCTCGAAGAAGATTTTACAGCGTTGGAAATTATCTCCATCCCGTCCAATGTCGATACGAGAGAATAATTCACATGGACATGATCTCACGCAGTCTAATCAAGCCTCACAGCCATGTTGGTTTTCAAACGATACCTATCACCTGTGCCAGCTTCGAATTCTCTTCTATGTCATAGAACTCTTCAGCACAGCCCTAATGGGAAGAATTCGTTGCGCAAGAGGTGTTAAGCTCAAGTGTCCATGGCCACACACTACATCGAGGTTTGACGATGAGTTGTGCATCGCCGGGTCCGCTCAGCATCACGAGTCTTGGACGAGAAAGCTTAAGTGTCTGGCCGTTTGACTCGACGAGGTTATACCACCGAGCTGCATGTTGGCTTCAATGTCTGTCGAGCCCATGGTCCTTCAGTAGCGTCATCTGACCTTCCAAGGGGCTACAGAGACATTCACTTTGGCATCGATATCCTCTTCAAGAGCGCCGCATTGAAAACTGGACACGCCTAACCGAATCGCCGGACGCATCTTGATGACACCCATCAACAACAAAAAGCTCGCCCATGCCATTTATTCCAATAATGGTATTTCAACACGGTCAGCTGTGAGTCACATTGTTCATAAAATGCATACGGGCGAAGGAAGACCAACACGAGCATTCATCGCCAGACTTGCGCTTGTTCAGTGTTCTAGCAAATTACTGTCAAGAAACTCTGGATTCGACATCGCTCATGAAGAGAGATTCACGAGCCGTTATTTCCGACAACTATACACACAAAGTCGAAGTCCGGT